ATCACACCTAGAGCCCACCCCCTAGGTGCTAGTACTTCCCCAAAGGATGCTGATTGGTACCACTATAATTTGGCCACAAACTTGAAGCCTGGATAGAGTCATTTTGTGATCCCGCAAGTCCAGCTGCCTTGCTAGGTATCATATATGCACATCATTAGGCACTGTGATGGGATAAAATGACCTAAAGGACGTAGTTGCAGATTGCAAATTAATTTGCTTCACCCTTTCCAAGCACAAAGGAGAATCTATGGTGGCAGCAGAAAAAAACATTGACAGTATATATAATGGGCAGAGCTTCTGGGTCTGTAACAGGCAGCAAGTAAACATTTTGTCCTCAAGTTGATGTGTTAGAAGCAGGGAAAATGGGCAGCATAACGATTTTAACAACTTTGATGGCTGATGAAATTGTGATGGCTAGATGACTGAGTCAGAGCCTCTAAAAGTGGTTTAAGGTGCAAGCTTATTAATGCAAGTGGGGAGTGAAGGCTGGCCCGTGCGGTCCGATCCAACAGACGAGCTACTGTAGCCCATATTGCTGTAAATGTGTGTTATGGCTGATCGGTGTATTTTTCCAATTTAGAGTAAAATAGACAATAAAGCAGGGTATGCTTTATGATACACAAAACTTTACACAAACTGCTCTGTCTAGGGTCAGAGTTTGGTTTGGCCATTCTGGGCTACTGTAGAAACATGGCGTTCAACATTGCAGACTCCACAGAAGGTGACCCCTATCTGTAGATACAAAAGGCTTGTTCTATACTAACTAAAACACTATTCTTATTTTCTGGTGATTATACACTACTAAAAACCTAGCTATTAATATTATATTCCTAAATGTTACAAACTGGACCTTTTAGGACCTGGCTTAAAGGATCAGCAATATTCTAGATTTTGACTGTCAACAAAAGGAAAAGATCCAGACCAACAATAAATATATCTACTAACAAGTATTGTGTGTGTGGGTGTGTGTTTGTGTGTCTGTGTGTGTGTGTGTGTTTGTGTGTGTGTGTGTGTGTGTGTGTGTGTGTGTGTGTGTGTGTGTGTGTGTGTGTGTGTATCAAAGCCTGAAATATACCATACAGAACAGTTACAGTAACATACATCACTGAGCCACACTGTTACACTGGCTGACATGTTCTTTGATAGAGCACCAAATGTGCCTTATTCATCAGTGAAAATGTCTATTTTTATAGTTTGACTAACGTAACTAAGGTGTTTTAGAAAATTACTGAATCTTTAAAAAAAGAAAACCTATATTTGTGAGTTACATCTTCAGTAACAACGAACAGACTTACAGCTGAGAGACACAGGAAGTCTTAAAGTATTGAAAGACAGACTAACACATTGTTGGTTTTTGGGTCTTGGTTCATCAGCAGACTACATGATGAAAGATTCAAGTTGTTGTGTTTATTATAATGAGTTGAGATCACAAAATGCCCCATGTAATTTGTGTACACATTCAAATGTACTGTACATAAAAACATTTTGTATATTGTAGAACACAAATTACACAATTTTCTCCATTCAGAATGTCTCAAACTGAAGAAGTATGTGTGTGGGAAAAGAATAACAGATTCAGGCCAGTGGTGGTTTTGGGCATGGGCGAAGCGGGCAGCATTTTTTCATGACATGGGGGGTGGCACGACAAGCACTTAAAAAAAAAAATCCTCTGCGCCGCAAAGCAGTTTTCTGTTATCTATCTGCTCTATTATATCACTGTGTGGGGAATTGGCAAATTGGCGCCCCCTACAGCTGCAAGCGCCCCTGCTTGATGAAAAGGCGCCCTGCACAGAAGCTGTGTGAGAGGGGGAAGGGGGCGGGGGACAGTTATGGTGCGTTCGTTTTGTCTTGTAATCGCGACTTGCAGCTCAAGAGCGACGTCACATCCGTGTTTGAAAACGAGTAACCACGGATTTTTGCGTTCTGTTTGGCACACAACACGACGAGCTTGGTTGCAATAGGCAGTTTGGACGTTTCGTAACGTTTATAGTGATTATCTGGTTTACGGTTCACCCAACGCGGATTTCACATGTTCATTACATATTACACAATCATATCACACAGTTTGATATCTGAATATTCCGTTTTGATTAACGTTAACGTTACGCTACTGCTCTGCTTTCTGCTCAAGACTCGGCATTGTTGTCATAGCAACATGGAGCGTCTCTAGCCAATTTCAGCTGCACAAGCTACAAAATAAGTGTTAATTATTTAACACATAATAAGACTGTAGTGACATGCCTATAGGTAACAGTATACAGTGCTGTGTGTACGACTTCTTCATTTGGTTACAACAAAGACAAATGTGTTTAAAATAGTAGGAAACCACAATGTTTACTACGTGTGATGCTCGGAGTAGCCATCTTGGTAACTGAACTCGGGTCCTCTGAGTTCAGATGACTTAACGAGTCGTTTTATACGTCCTCCGGAGCGTTCTATTTGCAACTTCCGGTTCATAACTCAGGAAATCGACTCCCAGATCGAGTCGGGTGGATAAAACGAACGCACCATTAACCTCTTGGTCTCCCTAATGGAACAAACAAGGGGGGGAACGGGGGATCCACTGTAAGTCAGTCACACCTCGACTTTCTTCCAAATAACGCACATTTCATTCATAATATAATAAATACAGGCCTATAGTTCATTAACATTTTTGTTTTTCTGAATTGTGTGAAATGGCAAACAAAAATAGGTAATAGGCTCGAACGGGGGTCTGGCCCAGGGTGTCATTCAAGATAGAACCACCACTGATCCAGGCATTCACCTCTAAATGCCACAGGACTGAAAACAAAGTGCAACAGTGACCCCTGCAGGAAGAACTAAAGCATTACAACACATGCCCTGAATCCCCAGAACCAGCCATTTTTACACTTAACATGGAGCCAGCAAGAGAGCAGAGGAGAGGAGAGGAGAGGATTTACTGAAACACTGTAAACCAGATCCCTGTCACAAAATCATATGAGGGCAAAAAAAAAGTCAGCTCTCCGCAGAGTACTGCATCGGTTGGGTAACCCCGAAAAAAGTTATGTAACAGGTAAAAATGTAACTAAATGCAGGTGAGAAGAAAAATATGTGGCTTTTCTGGAGAAATCAGAAATGGAAATAAGTGTGCAGTTGTACTCTATATATCTACTCTATCTACTGTATCTGTAGCTTTAGCCACATGTACAACCCCTGAGTCCAGTTCCTGCATGTCAACCAGATGGAAACTTTGCAGACAGAGAAAAAAAGTTCACCAATGTGTGCACAAGCTTGCACAGCATTATGGGCCAGTTTGTGAAAGAAAAAGTTTAACTAAAGGGGAATGATTTACTTGTTTTAAAAGCTATTTTTGTTACTTTTAACTTGAAATCAACCAGTGACCAAATTACTACACTTTTTTATAAACAAGGTACAACCAGGTGAATACTTGATGCCTTTATATGAACTAAATAAACAAACAAGACCATCAGCAAGAGGACTGGCTATTTCAATATTATTCTTAATTCCTGCCATTTTGTCGGATTTGGTCCCCTTGAAATCAATTAAATAAAATTAAACTTGTTTACAGCCAGTACAAAGATGGTTTTGGTCTTTCCAGGTCATTCAAGTCAACTGTATGGTGGGTGAATTTGTATAGAACTCACCTCTTTAAATTATAGTAAGGCTTAAAGTGTGAATGAATGACTGGCAGCACTTTCTATGATCCTTGGTGCACTTTAATCCTGGACTCCTGAATTTATTGAATGAATATGCAAACCTTCATATATAAGTGGTTATTGCTTATTTCATCCTTCATGTAATATCACATCACATATATAAAACAACTGTTTTTTTGTGGAGCTAGATGAGTGTTATCAGGAAATGTTTCAAAGCAAAACAATTTGATGCTGTGCATTTGTCTCACAGGACACAGACAAATAAAGATGAATCAGCCCTGATGAGCTGTTATTGCAGTTGAAAAGATGTTCATGAAAATCAGACCTTAGTCTCTGTCCTGCAACCTGATTGTCTCCAAATCAAGTGGATCCCTCTGAATGTTGCCAAAGTTCTCTAACAAACATTAATTCCATTAGTACAATAATAGTCATGTCATACTTGCTTCCACTGTCTCACACATTCACAATTTTCTTCCAGTTCCTTTTACCTTGTGCTTTCTACTTTATTTTGAAATCTTTCAACAAAATCTTCAACCTCAATGAACTGTGTCCATTTGGAGGAGGAGGAAACATCAATGAGATACACATGCTGTTACCACAGTTCAACCAGCTTCCACATTTTTTTAAACTATGGGATCAGATTAACATAATTGACATAAAATATGGACATCGTGTCTCCACCTCCTACCACTGAACAAAAATGAAGCCAAAATAACCCAGAAACGGATGCCCGGTTAGCACAGTCGGTAGAGCTGGCGACCCATGTGTGGAGTTGCTGCAGCGGCCCGGGTTCGAATCCGGCCTGCAGCCCTTTGCTGCATGTCATCCCCTCTCTCTCTGCCACCCTTTCCTATCTATCTTCAGCTGTCACTATTAATAAAAAAAATTAAAAATATCCCCGATACAGCTGCTGCTATCTTTCGCCATTGGGAGCCAGAGTCTGTCTAGTGGTGTTTGATGTTGATGCAGCTATATTAAGACTCTGCCCATACACCTGTCCAATTCAACATGCAGGGCTTTGCTGTCATGATCATTTGGCCCACGTCCCCAACATCTTGTAACTGTAATACCATTCCTTATTATTTCTTATTTATTTTACTGGATTCATTATATTTGAACTAGGTACAGTATACTGTATCTCAATGAGATGTAATGTTATCACAGCATGACCAGTTATCCATGGAATAAGAAAAATACATGGAAACTCAAGCATTGTCAGTGGACCACTTGAGAAAGGGTTTAAGTTGTGTTGTGTTGTGTAGTGATGATGATGATGATGATGATGATGATGATGATGATGATTTACTTCCAGTATGATGGAAACCATCAGCTGGTGAATGATGAAGGTTATGAAAAACTTACTTGTGCACAGCAGAGCAGCAAAGGCATGAATGGCTGCCCTGGAAAAGGAACAGAGGTAGTAGTTAGTGTTTCACTATTATTTCAGACTTCAAATTGAATTTATCATTTAGTCAGTGAGATGTGTGTATCTGCTTGTGGAGCTGTCATATCATCTTTAAACTTCCTAAATAATATACTGTGATGACTCAAAGCCAAAGTTTGGAAGCAGTTTAAATCATCCCTTCTGTCAACATCTCTTTTTGTCCCGCTTTCCTAAATTTCCTGTTCCAGTCTTTTCCTCTTCCTTTATTTTTTTCCCCCCTTACTATTATTACTATAAGGGAAATAAGAAAACACCTTGGGATATCATATTTGTAGGATGTTGTGCATATAACAAGTGACAATCATTACACATACACTACATAAACACAGACAAATTGTGTATATTTTACTTATAAATGTTAATCTTTTCTTTCCTGGTATGTCTTATGTTTGGTATTTATGTTGATCTTAAAGTTTAATATATGTTTTTTTAATGTGTTGATTTGTTTCAACTAACGTTTTCTCAGTGTGGGCCCTTGGAAGACTAGCTGTGCTTTAGGGCACAGCTAATGGGGATCCAAAATAAATAAACAAACAGCCAGTCAGCCAGCGGGAAGATGATGTGGACAGGTGTGAGGTTTAGGATACGGCTGCCATATTTCCTGGGAGCACATCAAACATATATATATATATATATTCCCTGAGGTAAGATGCACACCAAACCACCTAACCAATGATCAAGCTATGCCATTTGGGGTGGAGAGGGCTGGGTTGCATCAAAACAAATGTAGTGACTTAATGGGTGTATACATCATGGGACATATTCCTAGATACCCGTGAGAACACTCAACAGCTTAACACTGTGGTGACAGATATATACACGTTTGTGTGGAAAATGTTATAAGCAGGGAAATAAGAATATTCCAAAGGAAGCGCTAAGGAAGAAAAGGCAAGCCTTTCAGCAGGGTAAAGAACACAGGTTAGAGTTATACAAAACGGCATTTCAACATGGCAGACTCCATGGAAGGCGACCCATGCCAACTGTACATATATGTACAACATCTCTTTCTAAGGTAACAAAAATATAATTCCTATATTTAGGTGATTATACACCAATGAAAACACACCATGAATATTATATTCCATTTCTACCAAAAGAGCCTCCTCAATGGACCTTTAAGAAAAGTGTATTACACAAGCATCCTAGCTTCCCAAAATCTTTAATCTGTATAGTAGCTCTTTTATTGCTTTATACAACCAACAAAATGTCAACAGGTTCAACTCACTCTCTCTCTTTAATTTCTCAAAAATATAATCTTTCAATTTCTCTACAGACATTACCAACAAATCTAACTCATCTGTCTTAAAGTTAGGTGCCATGTCATGTTGTTTAGCTCGGAAAAATCTGAAAAGTAGCATATATGCTATATGTAGCTAAAAGGCAACAGACATAAAAAATTAATAAGCAATGTTGAATGGAATATTTAAGATTTCCTAATCTGAGATAAGATAGGACTCCTAAAGTTGGTAAGGATTTGCTTCTGTAATACCAAATTGGGGAAAATCCTATCTCAGACTGTAACTTTATTCTGACTTACTGTATAATCAGTTTGGTTTGGTTCGGACACAAAAACTACCTAGTTGGTTTAAGGAAAGATCATGTCTGGGTTAAAATAAGTATGTTACATAAGTCATTATGTAAATGACTTAACATAACATAAGTGACTCTACATACTGTGGCTCAGAAAGTAGAGCGGGTCTTCCACCAATCAGAGAGTTAGCATTTCGATTGCTGGCTCCTTCCACTGTATGTTGAAGTGTTGTTGTTGAAGCAAGACATTGAAACCCAAATGAAGCCCCTGAAGCTGTAGTGTAAAGCACTTTGAGTGGCCAGAGGACTAGAAAGGTGCTATATAAGTGCAATCCAATGACTATTTACATACTTAACACCTTAAGTCACTTCAAATGTTAAAGAGTTCGGTCTAGACCTGCTCTATTTGAAAAGTGTCCTGAGATAACTTCTGTTATGAATTGGCGCTATACAAATAAAATTGAAATTGAAATTGAAAATAAACTTACAAAAAAAATTTCATACATTTTATATGCTCTCTTCTTAATCCTTTGCTTGCATATGTGGGACCTTTGACGTCTTCCATTATTTTGTGCCAAACAAAATTAATTAATTTGTTTGTATTTTAATTATTTATGAGGGTAGTGACTGCTCCAGTCATAATTGCTACGGCCACTAGAGGTCGCCGCCTCACAATAAATGTCAATATGGGTTGTACAAAGCTGCTTGCAGAATCACCATATACATGACATTTCTCTGCTACAGTACAAATTGGACAGGTCTGCTTGCAGTGACAGAAGCGCTTGACACTTCTAGCACGAACTCCCTCTCCTCTGCCCTCATACACGAAGACCTGCTTGCATTCCAAACTGTGAACCACCAGATCCTCTTCTCCTCTCACAGCTGGTGAGTGTGAGGCAGCAAGGAGTAAGACCCAAATGCAGACAGAAACAGTACAGGAATTTAATGACAAAAAATAGTGTTACATGAGTTTAGTGCCATGTGTAGAAAAAGTTTAGAAGCTAGAAAGCAAGGCATGGAACCAACAAAGCAACAAACTGACAAAGGAACGAAGGATCTGGGCTGGTATATGTGTAATGAGTGGCAGGTCATGGAATGAGGTGCAGGTAGGTGAGGGGAATGAGGTGATTGAAGAGCTGATGTGAATGGAAGGATCTGGAATAGAAGGAGAAAAGTAATTTAAAAAAGGGGATCAGGTGGACAACAAACGAATAATGGTGAAGGCACCTGGGAAAGTGCCGGCGGAAGAGAGGAACATAGAGGCAGGCATCGTGATCCAATAACCTGCTAAATATTTTTTCAAAGTGCCTGTAAAAAGACATACGGTACCACATGTAAGAACTAAATTCACAACCTAATTTTATAAGAATGTCCCTCCACCTGATTTTCATCTGTGTTTTTATAGGCTCCTGTCCTGCTTTTGAGGTAGTAAGGCCAACATTTTAAGCATGTCACTTTAAAATAGAAGAGGAGAGAAGGATTCAATGGATGTGAGATATTTGAAGAGACATGGTATAATGATTTACTGCTGGATGCAGCAACGTTTAACATGATGTTGGATTGTGGTTGACAGGCATGTGACTGACAGAGTGTATTTTAGTTTTCCCTCACAGAGATCACTATAGTTGTTGGGACTGGTCTCTGCTCACCATGATCACCAGGGAAACAAAATGTATTGCCAAAAGTAATATTTATAGTAAGGGTTCAATGGTACATATATCTGTCCCGAGTCGTTCACACAAGACGTTTGGTCGGTTCGCTCTGTGACCAGAACAGTTACTGCTAAAATAGTATAATAGTACATGTCTACTAATTGCACATGTAGAATAGAAATTCTAGAGCTTGAATATGACCCAGAAAGTTTTGGCAGTGCACCAATTGCTGTTTATCAGCTGTAGCATGACAGCCGCCTTGGCCAGGGTAGTTAAGCTCAATGAGTTGTGATTAGTGTCGAACTGTGTGATGCATTGTTCAGCTCAAGTCGGGTATGTCTGTGGAAACACTTCAAACATGTCATTATGACGGCATCACGCAAATGTGTCGATTAGCGGAACAAGACAACAACAGCTGTGGCCTCACAATCAAGACTGGGGCAGGGCCTTTCTGTGTGTTCTGTGTTCTCCCTGTGTTTGCATTTTCTACCATGTAAAAAAACATGTATGTTAAGCTAATTTTTCCAGTCAGTGCCCTTAGGTACTGGCTCAGATCTGGAGTCTCTCAAAATAAATGTTATTTTTTCAGGGATGCAGCCATTGGGATATTCTGGGTCAATGGCATTACAATGTCCCTTTGTGCTAAGGAAACAAAAGATTCTACAAAGACAAGCGCCTCTGCTTTTGCTTTATTGTAGCTCAGTCTATTTCTCATCTAATCCAAAATGTGACACAATATTGTGAGTTTTCCCTGCTGTATTAAAAATGCACCGACCTGTACATTTTGTGTACCGTTGCACCCCTAATTTATAGACTACAGTTCAATATGTGGTTTCCAAATAGAGAGATACCTGGAAAACCACAAATCAAAATTGAAAATTTGAGTAACGCATCATGAGGCAGTACAGGGGAAATGAGCATCCTTGCAATACAAATGTCCAAGTCAAATATCTCCTTCAGTCTACAGTAGCTCACACCTGCAACAATCTGAAGAGGATAGTAGGTACCGCAGTGTTTAGTGGTCTGACAGGAGTGAGTGATGAATTGCTGCTGACAGGTGAGAATAGATGGACAGATTCAAATTGTACAGCTTCAGACAGTCTGACTTTACAGCTTTAAAATTGTGGACAGCAGCCAACCAGCATATCTAATGGTCGCCATATCACAGCTATAATTGTTTAAATCAGTGTGAGAGACATGTCTAACTGCTTCTCACACTTAAGGGAAATTGCATATCTCCTGCCTCGTTGCTCTCATTATATCACAGGAATTCACAACTGCCAGTTCTATCAAATTATCCAAAGTAGCAGCTGGTTTTGAAATCTGGAATCCCAGAATCTTCTAATTGTGTTAAAACAATTAACAGCAGGTTCCTGCATAGAAATGATACAGAAAACTCACCCTGAGGGCATTCAATTTGTGATGTCAGAGCATCCAATTCCCTCACACTACCGGGGAGTTTCATGTTCACTAGTGGTTTATCACGGGCTGGTATGCCTGGCATTGAGCCAGGTCAAGAGGGCGGTACTCCTGGTGCTCTTGGTATGCTTCATTGGGTATACTGGAGGATGCTGGCTATTTGAGCCAAATGCCATCAGTTCTGACAGAGACAGATGGGAAGAGGATATACGATCCAAGAGGAGAAGGATGGTGGCTTAAATAAGAGTCTATGCATGAGTTCTGGAGAAATGATGATGTGTTGAGACAAATGATATGTTAATATACTGGAATGATGTTTCCCTGTAAATTTAAATACTGTCATGCAGTTTGTGCATGGAGATGCTGCACATTTCACAGATCTGGCTTTACTAAAACAGTGACCCACAGTTTCATAGCGCCTAATTGATATCAAACTAGGCATCCCCACTAGTAGAGCCATTATAATACAGTCAATAAACAAAACAAATAAAAGCCTTAGCAAAAACAATAAAATATTTGCCATCAGGGTGGTGGAAGTGGAATAATAAATAGGCCAGCAAATTTCACTGTAGCCTCCCCATTACATTTTGATATTCTTGTATAATAGTGGGAATTTTGTGGGAAATCAGCCTTAACCAAAACCTCAGATACTGATATCTCTATGGACCACCAATATCCACAGCTCACATCAGGGAGCAGCAAATGGGTTTTGTGATGTCTTGTTTATAACCACAATTAATCATTCTAATGCAGTCGTGACAGAATAATTTGTATTTGCTATTTTCTGCACAAATGCAATTATCCTATTTGGTGCTGCTCCAACAATACAATTGAAGACATTTGCATCTGAAACCATCACTGACTCCCATTTGAAATGAATAAAAGGTGAACCAGGCCAAGACATTATAGAGCTAGATTTACCTTGACCTTGCCTAGTCAACCAGATGCTTAATTATAGCTACACAAACTGCCAAATTATAAATAAACAAGTCAGTGACCCATCAGTGTGCTCTGGTTCTAAGGAAAGGATTTTATTTCATGTTGTGGGTCAGCCAGGGACCATAACCTTAGTCAACTATCACTCACTTGCAAATTAGCTGACATTTCTAAGTCAAGGCTAGTAGAGCCTTTCCACTTTTGGCCCTGTAGAGTCAAAACATGCTGTGCTGATTTGTGTTGCCATTACGCATTAAACGTGCTGAGTTGTGCAGAGCTCTCTGGAGTTGGGCCAAAGTGAAAGTGTACTTTCAGATATCTGCTTTATTTAACTGTCCCATGCTCACTTTCAGCTGTATAGGAGTCCTGTTAATTTACTGCTGATGAAAACCCAGTATTTCCTGATTTTGCTGCTTCCTGCTACAAGCTTTTGTATAAGCAGATAATTTACAGGAAATTAAATGTGTTCACTAAAAAAGCAAAGCTTAGTTCACGGCTATTCTTCTATAAAAACAAGTCTACATATTGTAGAGATGAAGGTGGCTTTGTTTGTTTGGGCTTTAAAACACAACTGCTCTCTCTGCCTGTATACACACATTCTTGTTGTAATGTAGATGCTGCTGTGATGGGCTGGTGCACCGAGTCATACAGTCATATAGTATAGCCAAGCCAGCACATGTGTATGGAAAAGGGGGCTAGTTTATAGGTGTTTCTTGAATGTGTTAGGGTTAGATATGGGGATGTAAGCGCACAAAACCTAGGTATACATACTTGATTGTGTGCAGATGTTTGGTGGTATACTGAGGGATGAGGCAGTAGATGACATCCAGTCCCTGGTTTTCTCCTATCAGGTTTGCAGTAGAAACTGAAAGTAGAACACAAACTAAAAACATGAATCCCATCACAAAGTAAAGTACACAGTTGTTGAGTTACTGAGTTTAAACATAGGTGCCCTGCCACGGACAACTAGAGTGATCTGAAACCCGCAAGTTTGAGTTTTCTTATGGTTTTAACAAAAAAATTTAATAAATGTAGTTTAGTTAAAATAAGTTATGAAATAAATGTCAAAACATAGTATTGACATCATTTACCTTCTAACAGTAATAATTCAGTTTTACTCTGGACAGCGTTAACAGGGAATGCTTTTATTTTTATCTACTTGATCAGTGTCATGAACAGCAGCATATTGGTGAGTAAAGTCATTATTCAAACCTTTCACTAGATGATCCGCAAGGCCAGTGACGCTGTGGGAGTGGAGCTAGACTCTTTGACAGCAGTGTCAGAGAGGAGGATGCTGTCCAAGATTCATACCATCTTGGACAATGTCTCCCACCCACTCCACAATGAACTGGTCAAACACAGGAGTACTATCAGCGCAAGACTCATTCTGCTTAGATGCACCACAGAGCGGCACAGGAAGTCATTCCTGCCGGTGACCATCAAACTGTACAACTCCTTCCTCGGAGTGTCCAAACTCTGAGTCATTAGTCATCAAACTGGTGCTGTTAATGTGAAATAAGTCGATCAAGTGCAATACCTGGGTCAAGCAACACTGTGGAATATGTTTACACTTACAGTTAGATTTACATTTACTTTACTACTATTATTTTATTATATCTCTTAGGCTCTTATTATATTTCTATTTTTCATTTTTATTTTATTTTTTACTTTTACTATATGTATATACCTATACATTAATTTCTATTCTATTATATTGTGTTGGATATTTTATATAAGTACTATTCCTTAACGCTGTGTGAGTGGAACAACAACTGTAGCAAACAAATTTCCCCCTGGGAATCAATAAAGTATTTTTTTTTTTTTTTTTTTACTTATTATTTGTTTTCTTTTAGTAACATACACATATGTGCCAGCTGGGCACAAAACTACAACATAACATAACATGACGAGGGGAGGATTTGTGCATTAAGTAAAACAGCAGTCAACATAAGCACATCATACATAAAAATATAAAGATGCTGCTTGAAAATAGGGAAAAAACATTTCTTATTAGAAGGATTCTACCTTATCTTTGCGATCTATATGAAATCAGGTCTTACAGTTAACACATAGCTGAGCCATTTTGACCAGTTCTCTTCAAAAATAGCAGTTTGGGTCCTTAGTTTGAATGTAATTTTCTCCATAACATATATATTATAAATTATATCAATCCACTCATTTATTGTTGGTTTGTCCTCTTAAGCCATTTTCTGGTCAAAGCCTTTTTACACCCCACTAACAACACACTCAAAAGGTATTTGTCCCGCTTTGTATATTCAAAACCATCCAGATCACACAGGTACATGACTTTGAAATTTAAAACATTTAAAAACATTTAATAAAGTGTTTCTGATTCTGATTCTGACATAGCTGCTTCCAGTTTCCCTAGAAAACCCAACCACATTTTGGCCCTGCCTCATCACAACACAGCACAAGTCCCCTACTGTAAGCAACAAGGATAATAGGAAACCTTGTGCTGAGAATGGAAAATAAATAGTACAAAACTTTGGGAGAAAGGAACATAAATTGTTTTGAGTAGTGAGAGTGTGTGTGTTAGTACCTGATGAAGAGAGGACTTGGATGACCCAGAGGCAGGCTGCAGCTCTCCTGGCATGGTTGATGTTTTGTTTGAGCAGATTCAGAGTCAGCAGCACAGCTCCAGCCTCCTCTGCTTTCATACCTATACGGCGGTCTGTAGAAACACAGATATACACAAATATTCATCATTCTTGAATCTGTTTATCTGGTTGAAATGCTTTTGTTAAGCATTTAAACAAATGTTTTTGCATTTGAAGTTTGCATTGTGTGTAGTTTTTACAGCTCTTCATTGATCCACTTCACCTATGTGTGGCTCTTTTGGCTTACAAACACACATATCGGTAATTACTCATGTACTAACTTTGCACACATCAATTTAAAAATATATTTTGTCAAGAAACACAAATGTATGATCACTGTGGCGGCTGCATCAGCTGTTAATATTTCTTTGTTTACATTTTACACACAGACCTTTTTCTAAAACAACACTACATAGTCTTTTGTGTTCACATATAATGGTATAAAAAATTTTTGACTGACAGTTTTTTGAGATTATGAATAAGCAGAATATCTCTCTACTGTCAGAGATAGAAAGCAGAGACAGATCCTAACCAAGTACAGGCTCAGTGACCACAAACTGGCAATCGAAACAGGAAGACACAGAAAATCATGGCAACCAAAAGAAAACAGAAAATGTGGTCACTGTTCAACAGGTGAGGTTGAGACAGAGATGCACTTTCTCCTACATGTACAAAATTAAATAATACAAGAAAAATGTATTTGAACAAGTTCAGCTCTTTGATACCAGATTTTAAAGAGCTGAACGACCTCTCCAAATTAAAAATATTCCTCGGAGAAGGAGAGCGGGCACACCTTGCTGCCCAGTATATATTAACATGCCACAACCTGAGGGACAGTGAGTGATTGAGGCACTCGCACACACAGACACACACAGACACACACACACACACACACACACACACACACACTGTATATAACTAATAGAATGTTCATAATGCATATATCTTTGATTTATTGTATTGTATTTGAATACTTTGCTTTGGCAATATTGTTTTTAAAAAAAACTTTCATGCCAATAAAGTCCATTTTGAATTTGAATTGAATTGAATAATACAGGGCTAGTGGGTAAAATGTAAGTGCTCGATTAATGACATGATGGTACACATTCTTGTACAGTAGGCACCTTTAAGCTGTTTTTGACCGGCTATTAAATCCAGAGAAGAAGATGGCACACAGGTCTGTTTGGATATGTTGTGTTTTGATGAAGCCTTCGATTTTATATTGCTTTGTTGACCTCATTTGCGTTTAGGCTGTAACTTCTGTAGCTTATTTTTCTAGTGAGTTATATTAGGATTTATCTACTTTTACCATTTGATATCAAATTTGTAAGCCTTATTAAAGCAATTTTTACTTTTTCACCTTTGTCCTTTTGTCTTTTTTTGCTTGGTCCCTGACAATCACAAACAACCAATGCAAGCAGCCATTAAGGAGCTGAGGTGGTTCAAGCATGTGAGAAGGAAGCTTCTTGGGCACCTTCCTTTGAAGGTTTTCCAGACACATCCAACTGGGAGGAGACCATGAAATAGACCCAGAAGGCCAACAACAATCCCAATTTCCACACTCATGGAATCACAGACTCTGAGATACGTTCCCAGTAAGTCCGCAAGGGTTTAAGGGCTGTCCAAATGTCAAATCATCGCATGAGGGCTCTCCCGGAGACATTTTGAGCATTGTATCCACACTATCCTCCATAAGCCAGCATTTCTGGAGATCTTGCTTGAGGGAATTATCCACAGTTCATAGCATTGTGATATTATGGGCTGATTTTTGTTTCAGTAGAAACTGAATTTGAATTGCTCAACTTGAACAATTGCATTAAAAAACTGAATTTGAATTGCATAATTTGAATTTGTATTGTTAAACTTGAATAACTGTATTGAAAAACTGACTCTGAATAGCATAATTTGAATTTGAATTTATTAGTTTGAAACTGAATTTGAGCCTCACTAAAAATTCAACTTTTTATGTACTTTCAAATTCAGTTCTCTCAATTCAAATTCAGTTCTCAAAATTCAAATTCAGTTCTCTCAATTCAAATTCAGTTCTCTAAATTCAAATTCAGTTCTCAAAATTCAAATTCAGTTCTCTCAATTCAAATTCAGTTCTCTAAATTCAGTTTCAGTTCTCTCAATTCAATTTCAGTTATCTAAATTCAAATTCAGTTCTCTAAATTCAGTTTCAGTTCTCTCAATTCAATTTCAGTTATCTAAATTCAATTTCAGTTCTCTAAATCCAATTTCAGTTCTCTCAATTCAATTTCAGTTCTCTCAATTCAAATTCAGTTCTCTCAATTCAATTTCAGTTCTCTCAATTCAAATTTGGTTCTCTCAATTCAATTTCAAACCAGGGTCACAGACGGGTCAAGGTGTTCAGTAAGAGCAATCGAGTGCAGATGCACGGAGCTCCTTTTGGCTAAGCAGTACGTTTGTTTTGACCATTTCCTGGACCTGCACATTGGCTAGCGAAAAACATGCTTAAGGGAGTCATATTTTGCCCCCTTTCAGGTTCATAATTGTATTTTGTGGCTCTCCTACAATAGGTTTAGATGTTTTAATGTTCAAAAAACACATTATTTTTCTCATACTGCCTAAAGCACTCTTTTCAGCCTCTGTCTGAAACGATCGGTTTTAGCTCCTGTCTCTTTAAGGCCCCCCTCCGAAAAAGCCCAGTCTGCTCTGATTGGTCGGCCTCTCCCATTTCCGCTTCAGCGTTGCCGGCAGGTAGCTCCTCACTGCTACTGAGTTTAGCTGCATTTCTACCGTTAATATTGATTCAATAACTGCTTCTAAACCAAAAACTTCACCACCGGACATGTTAGAGCGGGAGTCTGACCTGAAATCACGGACAAATAAACTACATTAACAATCAGGATTACAGCTTTCTGTGACGTTTTCCTCAGGTAAATACTGCTATATTAATTATATATATATTAACCTCTATCTATCACATAATGTTAGTGTTTATACCTTAATTATGAGAACCAACACTGTGTTTTATGCTTGTCTTTACAGGTTCAGCAGTGAGCAGTGACCTAGAGTCTACACAGCCCAGTGAAGTTAAACATATTATATATTACATAATATTAACAACATTAGTCAAGCAGTTGTTTCTGGTGATGAAACAGCCAGTAAATGTACCAAAGTAATCAGAGTAATAGTATGATGATTACTTTGGTACATTTGAAAACTTACCATAATGAGGCATAAACCTCCCTGGGATACTTTATCCTGTACAACATGTCAATATAACTGAAGGATCATCTAATAAAGTAACTTGTTGATGCGGTTTAAAAACTGCAAAGTAACCAACTTTAAACTGTACTGTATCCATATTTCATAGTCTGATATTTTAACTTTAAACTATTATTACCAAAGTTAAATCATATATTTGTAAAAGCTGCAATTATGTTTTACGTTTTATTTTATATATTATGATGTCATTTATCTTCCAACATAATAAAGTTTGAATATGAGACAGTAATGTATTGTGTTGCTTACAGTCATTAATACAGGATTGAATTCCACATTTTCATATTGATAGATGTTACACGAACCAGGTTTTCATCTCTTATCCAAATCTTCATAAAACCTCTGTGAAATGACATGCTATTTATATAAAACCATACTTCTTGCTGAATTTAAAAATGACCAAAACTCTTCTTAAAAGTAAAACACTTTATTTATGTTTCATTCATATTCCAGTTACACATGTTGTAAGTAACAAAGCTATAACTCTTATGTAAACTGTGCAGACCATGTTCTCCATCAAGGTGGTTTCTAGTATATTGAAGTGTGAGCTGGTAATGGAGCTCTGTAGTCAGTGTTCATCTTGATGAGTCTTCCTTTGGATACCCAGACTGTCCTGATGCTGCAGCTGTCTCTGTCCTCTGATGGGTCCAGGAACACCTGAGCTTCATCAGGTCACCTGTAAAACAAGGCAGATTCAGTGTTACTTGTAAGGCAGCATATAATATACAGTATAATATAATACAAGTACAACAGCTCATTGTGGCTCACAGTAGTCATAAATTATAAACTAAAATAATAAAGCAGAGTCTCTGGTGGGTCCCTTGTTGCTCTAGTGATGTGTTGTTGAAACAATCTGAGGTTACCAACACAAATGTCTAGCTAATGGCAGCAGATACACACACAGGACATTTACTGACTGTAACTGATGTTGTGACAAGATCCTGGTGCAATAACAGACATTAAGCAGTGAGCCTCAGTGTTTATAATACAATAGGAGATTATATGAGTATAAGATGTTACACTGGACCTACACTTATATCGTCAGTAATAGCAATACTTCAGTATATATATGGATCAGAACACTTTTATTTGTCGCTGTTTGACTCCACAAAAAGCCTAGCGAGCAACCCCAGCTACTTGGTGCAAAGTTACAGAATAATACTAAACTAACGTACCGGAACTCAGACCCGAAAGCTGTTTTTGCCGGCGTCGGGACCCGAACGACTTCCGGCTTGACACAGTTTCCGGTCTTTTCGCGGTACTTCCCAGCACACGATCGCCATCTAACGTAAGTCCAAGGAATTTCTACATTTTACAGAGTCTATATGTGGTTTTTCATACATATACATCAACATTTACATGTATAATTATAATATGAAAGTTACTTTAATGAGGGAAAGCCGCGGGAACGCTTAGATTGCGCTTGGGCGACAATCTTTAAAAGTCTGTTTCTATTTTCACTTAACAGCTTAAATAAGCTCTCATATGGGTACATATCGTAGCTAGGTTTACACTGATTAGTCTAGCTATTGAAAATGTCGGATATTGTGTTTATACAATCTGTGGTCGAGGTGGGCGGAGGCCAATTTTTTTTATTGAAATTGAAAAAGTTACAGACGCGGGAAAGAAGAACAAAGGAACAGAGCAAGCGCAGCATTGTTTTTTTAAACTGTGAAGTATCACAGTACACATGAAGATTTAATGCAAAAATAAGGTTCAAATTAGCTATTCAGATGTATTTTCTTGTTTATAAGCTAAAATAAATAAAGTATATTTTTTATCATGGTGTCATCTTGTAATAATTTATATATTATTGGTGTGTGCGTGTGAGTAAGAGAGAGGGAGGGGTGTGAGAGATGTGTTGAAAGCCAGTAGAGGCTTTTATGATAGAAAATATTGGTTATATAGATACACCTCCTTATGTATAAAACCAGTATTGTTGAAACTCAATTTTGCTCTTGTGTTTCTGTCTGAGAACAGAGACAACAGAGAGAGACAGAGAGAGAGAAGAAGTGAGAGAGAAGACGAGAGAGCGACAGAGAGAGAAGAAGAGAGAGAGAAAGAGAGAGAAGAAGTGAGAGAAGACGAGAGAGCGACAGAGAGAGAAGAAGAGAGAGAAGACAAGAGAGAGAAGAGAGAAGCCGAGAGAGAAGACGAGAGAGAGGACAAGAGAGAGAAGAAGAGAGAGAAGATGAGAGAGAGAAAGAGAGAGAAGAAGAGAGAGAAGACAAGAGAGAGAAAGAGAGAAGACGAGAGAGAAAGAGAGAGAAGAAGTGAGAGAGAAAGAGAGAGCGACAGAGAGAGAAAGAGAGAGAAGTGAGAGAGCGAAAGAGAGAGCGACAGAGAGAGAAGACAAGAGAGAGAAGACAAGAGAGAGAAGAAGAGAGAGAAGACGAGAGAAAGAGAGAGAAGACAAGAGAGCGACAGAGAAAGAGAGAGAAGACGAGAGAGCGACAGAGAGAGAAAGAGAGAGAAGACGAGAGAGAGAAAGAGAGAGAAGACAAGAGAGAGAAGACGAGAGAGAGAAAGAGAGAGAAGACGAGAGAGCGACAGAGAGAGAAAATACAAGAGAGAGAGACATAAGGTAGGCAAGGGGTGTGGGTGTGTGTGAGAGAGAGATTTGCTTTTATTCCTTTACAGGTGCATCAAGATGGTTAAAAACAATGCTTTGGTTTAAGGTAAGTATATTTGTGTGTATGCATGTGATAAATACATTTATGCTTGTTGATGCAACATGAAATAAAATACCTATAAAAATGTTACTGTAATTTCTGAAATAATATGCCTCTTTTAGATGCCTAACATCAGACAGCTGCCCCAGAGGGAGAGGAAGACGAGGAAGTGGACCCCGGAGGCCATGGGACAGGCCATCCAGGAGGTGAAAGCAGGCAGGCTGAGTCTGGGGCAGGCAGCCAAACAGTTTGGGGTCCCAAAAACGAGCCTGAGTGACCGAGTCAGTGGAAGGGTGGCCTCTGACTGTGCATGGTCAGAGGGCCATCCAGAAGAGAGAAGGGGGAAGTTGGGCCAGACGTGGTGGCTCAACTTCCGCAGGAGGCAAGGCCAGTGCTTCACTTCTCGGACCCCAGACAATATTGGCCGTGGGAGGGCATCCTGTGCAAAGAGGGGGCCGATTGAACACTACTTCACTCTCCTCAGAACCATGGAGGAGCACGGGTTGAGGGAGAAACCCCGTCAAATCTATAACTGCGATGAGACGGGGTTTCAGCTGGACTCGTCGAGAAGAAAGGCCTATGCTTATAGGCAGGCCCAGGGGACCAGGGACCACATCACCGTCCTGGCCTGCCTCAACGCGGCTGGGGAGGATATCCCCCCTTTCATAATTTACAAAGGGGGATATCCCCGGGGGCCCTATTACAAGGAGGGGGTCCCCGACGCCCTCTATGGGCACAAATCCCACCTGGATCCAGAGCTGGTCCGGGTGGCAAAGAGGGAGGAGGTCATTCTCCTGTGCCTTCCACCACACACGTCTCACATCCTGCAGCCTCTGGATATGACTTTCTTTGGACCCTTGAAGGCAGATTTCTCTGGAATTATAGGAGATCTGTCGGCTTATTTAAAACATATTCTTAAATATATTTTTTCTAGGAGTAGGTCACACCACCACCATGGAAGATCTGTGTGACCAGTGCAGGGAACCTGACCCTCCGGGTGTCTGCTCGGAGGGATTGGTGCCGTGGGTCCAGTGCAACAAATGTGCCAAATGGTTTCACACCATTTGTGTCGGCTGGGCGGAGCTGGACAAGGACGAATTTTGGTGTTTTTGGTGTCTTAATATGTTTGATAAGTTTGTTATTTAATTTGTTTTTAATTTGATTATTCTTTATATATTTGTTTTGTATACATTGTATATATTGCTGTTTTTTGTCCTGTCAAGATGTGTGTCATTTAGTAAAATATTTTTTGTCATATCATTTGTCTTTTGATTAAATAATATAATTGTATGCATGAACATTTATTTGTTATATTAAGCTACACACTAACTCTGCACTTAGTCTATTACAGGTAATTGTTATGTGCAAACAGCATATGTGTTTGTAATTGCTAAATTAAATGCATCAGCTTGTATTTTACAAGTGATTGAAATGAGAAGTGTTTAACAAAATATCCAGTAGGTGGCGGTATAACTGCATAAATTAGAGTTGTTAAAGCATTGTATCTTATTTTGAAGGAGGAAAGTACGATCCCAGATGAGTTGATGTTAGCAGAGCCCGTCTACGGAGAGCCTGGCCACTCTCTATTAAGTCCCATTGTACCGAATTTTGGTTGCAGTTCCACCAGAGTTCCACTGGGGGCGATTACCCATGAGTGCAGAATGAATGGGAGCAGATGGAGCTAGACGGCTAAATTTGTCTCTTTCACCTGATTGTCATTGAGAAATCTCAGATTTGATTGTAGTTCAACATGGGTTATAGGTCGAAAGTTGAATGAACGAGTACTTACGTCCTTTCGATTTCTTACAGGTTGAGTTGTTGTTGCCCATAACGCGCTAGCATTCTGCTAATGAACGCTGATTGGTCAGTGAAGGACTGATTACGACCAGAGATCCCGCTTGATGGCATCGTGGCATCCGAAGCGGGACCAGAATGTTAAGGTGGATTTTTTCGCCCAAGTTCTTTTTTTTTAACACAGCAACTTTTTTTTGGGTTGCTGGTACTTTTATCTGCCTATCGTTATGTCTGTGTTGTCGATGCCTCGAGAGAAAAGGAAGTGCCGAGCGCGTAAGCACAAAGTGACTCGAGGCTTGCCGTAAAGCAGTATCTCTGGCCGTACGATGTGTATAACGTCATTGACATTTTAAAAGACTTTTTAAAGCAAATAAGTGACTCTAAAAAATCTAACACCCAGCAATGTGTAATTTCTTTGCATCCCCTTTCGAATGCAACATTCAAATTACTAGACAAAAAATTATATCCTGAGAAAAGTGGATTTTGAGGGTATAGCTCCATAGACCGCCATTCATTCTGCACTCATCCTGTGAGCGCCCTCATATGGAACCAGAGTGGAACTGCAACAGTTGAGAACCCGGAAGTATACCGAGAGTGGAACTTCTCCCCTTATTAGACATTCTCTGATGTTAGTTTGTCAGTCTCAGGAACAACTTAATACCCCCATAACACCAGCAGTGTTCAATGTTTACAGCGAGCAGACGCTGCCGTTCGACTGAGGACACCGGCAGCTCACGGCTAAATCAACGGCGTTAGCATCCTTTTACCGACTCTAGTAAAGACCGAGCAAAAGTAAATGGTTAAAACGATACACGGTTAGAAAGGTAAGAAGTTCGTCTTTACTTTAGCACCTTAAAATCAACCGAAACCATTACATGATCATTTAACTTAGTAGTTAAAGGGAAGTTATATAGAATATTAGCATGAAACTCGATCGGGTCTGAGTTCCGGTACGTTAATGAATCCCTGCAGTTTGACTAATTCTCTCTTACAGTAGCTCTATTGTTAACTCCGGTGCACGTTGATCAAGTTAATTTACACACTGTAACACACACACACATACACACAAACCGTAACACACACACTAACACACACACACACACACACACACACACAAACCGTAACACACACACACACACACACACACACACCTGAATGAAGCAGAATAACAACAAAGCTAACACTAGCTGAGATAACGTTAGCACGTCAGTATAAAGTTACACAAGAAGCATCATGAAAAACAATCACCATAACTTACTCCCCGTATTTTGTTCTTAGCTTCTAAGGAGGCTTGATCATAGTTTGACTATTTCTCTCTCACGGTAGCTCGATCACAGACACACACACCCCAGCACGAAGCTTGGTAATTCATGGCATAAACTTTGTGTGAATCTCTATAAAAAATAGCAGCAGGAGAAAAATATGGAGACATCTGCACCAGCTGGCTTAATAAATGAACCTCACCTTTTAAGTTTCAAGTTCATCTTGAACACATTTAACAAACAATAACTACGTTAGCATCACTAAGGCTCCGGTAGCTAACAACGGTTAGCATGTGCTAGCGGTACACGAACAATGAAAAACAAAGCATAAATTAGTTATTATTTTACTACAAAAAATACTTACATTTACTTCCTCTGCCGTCTCTCCACAGACAGTTGGTATGAATCCCTCTTTCAGGAACAGTCTTTTAGCCAGTCCAGTGTTGTACTGACCGAGGTTGTGAAAACAGTCAAAGTGGTTCACACATGAAACCAAAATAAAAAATGAAGAAAAAAAATGAACCTGAAAAGGGGCATAATATGTCTCCTTTAAGCATGTTTTTCACTAGCCAATGTCTAGGTCCAGGAAATGATTAGCCAAAGAGGAGCTCTGTGCATCTGCACTGGATTTCTTACTGAACACCTTGACCCGTCTGTGACCTTAAAAGTGTAATCTTGTGGTTTGAAATTGAATTGAGAGAACTGAATTTGAATTTAAAGAACTGAAATTGAATTGAGAGAACTGAATTTGAACTTAGAGAACTGAATTTGAATTGAGAGAACTGAATTTGAATTTTGAGAATTGAATTTGAATTTAGAGAACTGAATTTGAAAGTACATAAGTTGAATTTTTAGTGAGTTTAGTTTCAAACTAATAAATTCAAATTATGCTATTCAGATTCAGTTTTTCAATACAGTTATTCAAGTTTAACAATACAAATTCAAATTATGCAATTCAAATTCAGTTTTTTAGTGCAATTATTCAAGTCGAGCAATTCAGATTTAATTTCTACTGACACAAAAATCAGCCCATATATTAAACTTGTGGATACCAAGAGAAGGAAATTTCCATGCACGTGTATGATGCTTTATTTATACAGCACAAAAACGTTTCAAAGTCCTTTACATGACTGAACAAGTACTCAGATCCTTTACTTAAGGTCATATATATATGAAGTTTAGAACATTAATAAAAGCAGCAAACATCTATTTGCTATGTAAATATATAGTGGAGTCAGCGTTCTTAGCTGAGAATGACATAACACTCCCTCTCCTTGATCTCCAAGCATTGTTCACTTCTCCGCTTCTGCTGCACGTGCATGTCAGTCTCTCCATGTGCATCTGTTGGCTTTGAAGCTGTTTCTGTTGAACCTGCTATCATGTACACCAGCATCTCAGAACAGACCAGACTCCATTGATAAAACCAGTAATTTTACCCAGCAGATGAAACACTGAAAATTCCAGTCTTTCCAATAATCACCAACGTATAATAATATCATAATAAACCCCTAATTTGGGCTGCCCAGATAGCTCACCTAAGCTGGGACCCCCATGTACAAAGGCCGAGCAGTGGTCGTAGGTTCGAAACTGACCCCTGGTCCCTTGCTCTGTGTCTCTCTCTACCCACTTTTCTGTCTATCCTCAGCTGTCCTGTCTAATAAAGGGAAAAATAAACCCCTAATTCAATGAGTTATATGAGAAAATAGCAGCAAAGTTGGCTTCTATGGCTGCCATGTTAGCTAATCTATGGGGACAAAGCCACCTGTCAAAGCGTGTCTACTAATAGTGCCACTGACAGGCAAAAAAAGTGTCATGGAAAGGATCCCTTCTGACCAATTCAGATCCTGTAAATGTTTTTTTTTACCAGACATGCTATCACTCGTCACCAGGCTCCATAAATAAAAATTAAACTAATTTTACTATAAAACAGACAGGAGTGTGACGTCATTCTCTCGCTGTTTTTCCTAATTATAAAAGTTTTGGTTTTTTTAAATCCAGTGAGCAGAGACAAGAATCTTGTGGTCTCGTGTTCCACTCATAAACTCACTCAACAAGTCAACCCTCCATGTATGACATGAGTCCTGCTGTTAACTCTACTAGCCAACAGGTTAAAATGCAAAGGTGAAAAAAGGTGAGTTGTTTCATATTCATTATTTGTGATGACAGGCTTGTCATAGATGCTGGCTATCTGGCCTTTTAAGAAATAGCATGCTTGTGTTGCCGATTGCCATGTCTAATTGTTACTGTAGTAGCCAAATGGCAGGACACACATTGCAATCAGACCATAGACTGTAATGGTGCATACTTGTAGCCTAATTTGTTGTCATGTGGGGTTTATTATGTGGCTTGATTGTATGACTGTGTGGCTGTTTGGGCATCCAGCATCACTGAATGTCAAATGCTGAATGCTCACTAGTTTAGTCAATCTTACTTTGTTGTTGTTTGACCTAGACTATCAGGGGTACTCCCATGATGCACTGAGCTCCTCTCATCATCTCCCTCTCTTTCTGCACTCATTCATGTCCCATTAATGCATGTTACTAACTTTACTTCTTCCCCGGAGTTCTTGTGCTCTCTCGTCTCGCAGGTTCTCATGGATCCTGGTGGAGCCTCCTGCCATGGTCCTGCTTGACTGCCATTGCTAATATTACTGAAATATTATTATTATTATTATTGTTATTTTTGTTGCTGTGGTCGCTACTCGTTGTTGTCGTTGTCATCATCTTTGTGTTCATCATCATCAGTCACTACTATTAGTGTAGTTGTTGCTACTGTTGTTACTGTGCACATCTGTCTGTCTGTCTCTCTCTCTCTCTCTCTCTCTCTCTGTCTGTCTCTCTCTTTCTCTCTCTCTCTGTCTGTCTCTCTCTCTCTCTCTCTCACCCCAACTGGTCGAGGCAGACAACCACCCACATAGAGCCGAAGGGTCTGTCCAAGGTTTCTGACTCTTTAAAAGGAAGTTTTTCCTTGCCTCCGTCGCCAAGTGCTTGTTCATGGTGGGAACTGTTGGGTCTCTGTAAATAATTTTATAAGGAGTACGGTCTAGACCTGCTCTATTTTAGCTGCTTAGATATCAGACGGTTGCTGTTTAATGATAAATCCATGATACTGTCCATGGTGGTGAAATACCACACCTCATTGTACACACCTTGCCCCTCCTGAAATTGAGCCATCATCTTCTCGCATGCATGCTCCCAACAGGATCTGGTAAGGCTTATTTACCAACTGCGCTACGTCACGTTTTGCTGCTCTGATTGGTTGTTGGTACCTGAGTAGAGTACTTAAATAAATGTACTTGGTTACTTTCCATCACCAGCTGCAACCCTTTGCAAACCATGTTATCTGCAATGTTAACCAACTTTATGTTGTAAACAAATCCAATTAGTGGGGTAGCTAATTAGTAGAAGTAGAACCAATATTATTAGTATTCATCTTTTCATCTGTCCTCACCTCTGTGTCCAACTTTAGCCAGCAGGTGCAGCAGTGGAAGCAGGATGGTATAGTTGGGAGTGAAACTGCGGCCGGTGTTGACCAGTGCAGTCAGCAAGGCCTCACTGCCACCTTTACTGATCATATAGTGGATACGACGATCTGTACCTGAACACAGAGAGAGGGAGGGGTTAACTGGATACTGGTGTGTCCCCTGCCAGAAAGGATTACATTGAAACAACTGCTATCTAAACAATCATGCACTTCATAATACCAATGACTCCTGACTTCACTTGGACTTGAGCCTTTTGACTTGAAAATAGTTGATACCTTTCTTTAAACTCAAAGTTAAAAAAGTATTATTGATACGATACAGTATGTTATTTACCACCAATCAATTGATTTCCCCTCATTTCCTGAATCAACTAACAATAACGCAATTCATTTCCAGAGTCGACATTTAATTCCCTAGATCCACTTTGTTTGAACAAATCCAATAGCATCTAATCATGTTGCAGGAGAGAACCATTAAGACCTCACATTACATTACTGACCTCGAGATCAAAAATTATACCAAAGTTAATTTCTTCTTGTTCGTTCTGTTGTTAAAATGGAATTTATTAATCATTTATTATGACATTAGGGCATAAAAGTCTTAGGACTTGCTTGTGACTTGTAAAACAATGCCACCTCTGCTATATACAGTATATCATGCAGAGATAAACAGCTTGATTTTAAGAGGATGATGGATGGGCGGAATTGTCTGGAAATCTTTACTGGTATTAAGGCAGCGACACAGTGCCACCAAGGAGCGCCACATTGATCTTGAGGAATGTACATCTTCAGTGACATCATCTTGAGAAATCACTTATCTACCTTACTGCCTTGCTGCATTTTGCCATTTTAAAAAGACAGAAGTCTGTTACATCAAAGCCCATGATGTCCTCTTTACAGAACATTAAGACTAAATTAGACTGCATGCATGGAGTCTGAAATAAAGGCCTCAGTGGCATGCCCCCGAAGAATACAAATATTAATTTCTGGGTCTTAATATTACCATATTACTGTAAATGCAGTTACATGGTTGAGAGCTGAACTTGGCTTACCAGCAGACAGAAGTTCATCAAGGACATTGAGGATATTTAAGGTGCTCTCCACATCCCCTGCATTCTGCAGAGACAGATAAACAAAGTAGGAAAAATACAATTAATGCAAAAGGTTATCTTTTCTTAAAATAATGTATGTGTATTCTGTGGACTAATATATGTGTAAATGGTAAATGGACCTGTACTTGCAGTGTTTCCCATTAATTACTTAGACTGTGGCGGCCCGCGACAGTCTCAGAATGAACCGGGGAAAAAAATCATAATAACATAAAAGATCTGTAACTTGTGTTTCGCGCCGCTGCTTCAGCAAAGCATCTCTCACTCCCAGTCAGTCGGCTCTGCCCCTACCCCCTGTTGCTGTACGTGGCGCGCGCACACTCATACACATACACACACACACGGGCACTGGACTATATAAAGTTACCTGACAGCATCCGAGACGTCAAGGCATTTTAGCACAGCACATCGTTTGAGGTAAGAAACGTTAACCAATTTTATAGAATCTACTAGTTCAAACACAATTTTATCCTGATCAATGTATGACAGCAAACAGATAACGTTACTGCAAAGGTTTATTATTATTTATAACGTTAATGTTATTACCAGAGACGGTTCAGAAAGTATAAATGTATATAGAGAATCTTTGTTATTACCAGCGGCTCTGACAACGTAAGTTAACTTAACGTTTACAAGGCGTCGCGGACGAGAGCCCTGTGAGCCTTGTAACTAACAGATTTTCAGTAAAACTCATAAAAAAGACTGACAGAGGGACAGACTTTGAGAGAGCAGAGCAGGTAGTTCACGTAGGGACAGCAGGGGAGACGGCCTCTCCTGAGGGAGGGACAGCAGGTGAGTTTAACAGCAGAGAAAGGGGCAATAGGTCAGAGTAGTTTCATATAAATATGTTGCTGAGATGTGTGCCAAACATTTAACTCATTACACTTACATGATAAACTGCATGCTCTTCTTAACTAAAAGAGCAGTGTGCTCAAAATATTTTCATTCATTTGGCTAATTGTAGTTACCTTCATTTTCAGGTCAAATCATACCTACGTAACAGGCTGCAAGGAGAGCACCTGGCTGGCTGCCTGAGGGTCTCCATCAGTGGGCCGAGTCCAGAGGAATTTAACTACCAAAGGGCATTAGAGCTGTTTTTTTCAAAGCCCAGGAAAATTAAATGTCCAAATTCAGGGTGCCAGGTTTGTAAATAGGGATGTAGGGAGAGTTGTAGAAATGTGTATCTTGGACCAATACTATTTACTTTATATATGCTCCCTTTAGGCAACATTATTAGGAATCACTCCATTAACTTTCACTGTTATGCAGATGATACGCAGTTATATCTATCAATCAAACCCAATGAAATTAATCAATTATCTAAATTACAAACATGTCTTAAGGACATAAAATCCTGGATGACCTGCAATTTTCTGATGTTAAACTCAGAAAAAAACGAAATTCTTGTTCTTGGCCCCAAAAACCTTAGAGACTCATTGTCTAAAGATATAGTCACTCTAGATGGCATTAACTTGGCCTCTAGCACCACTGTCAGGAATCTTGGAGTTATCTTTGATCAGGATTTGTCATTTAACTCCCACATAAAGCAGACCTCTAGGACTGCCTTCTTTCATTTCCGTAATATTAGAAAAATTAGACACATACTATCACAGACAGATGCAGAAAAACTAATCCATGCATTTGTTACTTCAAGGCTGGATTACTGCAACTCTTTATTATCAGGTTGCCCCAATAAGTCCATTAAAACGCTCCAATTAATTCAGAACGCTGCAGCACGAGTACTGACAGGAACTAGAAAAAGAGATCACATCTCTCCTGTACTAGCTACTCTGCATTGGCTCCCTATAAAATGTAGAATTGAATTTAAAATCCTCCTCCTCACCTATAAAGCTCTTCATGGTCAGGCCCCTTCATATCTTAAAGAGCTCATAGTACCCTATTACCCCACTAGAACACTACGTTCTCTGAATGCTGGGCTACTTGTGGTTCCTATAGTCTCTAAAAAGTAGAACAGGAGCCAGAGCCTTCAGTTACCAAGCTCCTCTCCTGTGGAACCAGCTTCCAGTTGTGGTTCGGGAGGCAGACACCCTCACCACATTCAAGAGTAGGCTTAAGACATTCCTCTTTGATAAAGCTTATAGTTAGGGCTGGATCAGGTGAGTCCTGAACCATCCCTTAGTTATGCTGCTATAGGCCTAGACTATCGGGGGATTTCCCATGGTGCACTGAGCTACTCTCTTCCTCTCTCTTTCTGCACTCATTCATGTCCCTTTAATGCATGTTACTAACTCCACTTCTTCCCCGGAGTTCTTGTGCTTTCTTGTCTCGCAGGTTCTCATGGATCCTGGTGGAGCCTCCTGCCATGGTCCTGCTTGACTGCCATTGCCAATACTGTTGTTGCTGTGCACCTGTCTGTCTGTCTGTCTCTCTCTCTCTCTCTCTCTCTCTCTCTCCCTCTCTCTCTCTCTCTCTCTCTCACCCCAACTGGTCGAGACAGACGACCACCCACCTAGAGCCGGAGGATCTGTCCTAGGTTTCTGCCTTTTAACAGGCAGTTTTTCCTTGCCCTTGTCGCCAAGTGCTTGCTCATGGTGGTACTGTTGGGTCTCTGTAATTAATGTTAAAGAGTTCGGTCTAGACCTGCTCTATTTGAAAAGTGTCCTGAGATAACTTCTGTTATGAATTGGCGCTATACAAATAAAATTGAATTGAATTGAATTGAATTGTATTTTGGATGTTTTCTTTCCACTAGTCTGAAAGAAGACAAAATAACCCAAAATGTTTTTGCCTGCCATGTCTCCCCTTAAGGCTGCAACTAACGACGAATTGATGATGTACCCTCCGAATCCAATTCATTTTTTATTACAATTTAGCTTACAGTTTAATTATTTATTATTTTATTTGCTAAAAAATAAACTAGTTCAACACAGATAACCACTTTTGCTTAATTTCTTTGATGGCTCAGATGTATGCTCTAGTTGATTTTGTGTTTTCACCATTCGTATCTATACAACCAATGTGTTTATGATTTAAATTGTTTACAAGAGCACACAGTTCTTCATGGATCTAGCCTCTTAATTTTGCTTTCAAAGTGCACCAGATTGATGCATTTCACTAAAATAAAAATAAAAATCATCCGGGGGAGCATGGCCCCAGACCCACCTAGAGGGTCTGGCGTCTACCCACCATAGTCTCACAAAATCCTGTTTCACACTACGTGCCACATTCACCCACCGATGCACAGCATCAGGAGCAATTTAGAGTTTAGTATCTTGCTCAAGGATACTTCTACATGTGGCAGGAGGAGCCGGGATTGAACCGACAACCTTATGATTAGTAGACGACCTGCTCTGCCTCCGAGCCACAGCCGCCTGTGTGAAAACGAAAGTTATTTTTTTGTTGGTAAGTGGCCAGTATTTACCTCAATAGGGCCCCCTACTGTGAGGGACCCATCCCCACAACAAACGTTACAAAGTAAAGTAAAGTAAAGGTTTACATAGACCTATCTGATGTCTAATTTACTCTACATGTTGATGTAACGCCACTCTTCCCAGAAAGGTTTCTCATCCAAATGCTCAAAATGGTCTCAGTGGGACTGGAGGTGTATTGGTATGGCTGACTACATTCTATGGCTTGTTAAATTACGGACTATCAACAGAAATCTTTTGAGATGGTCAAACATTTCACTCATTAAAATGTGTGTGTTGTATGAAGAGAACCCATTCTGTGGCCAACTATCTGCCTGATATAAATAACTTAATGTGTTGCATGCAGACAGCCTGTTGGTGGCCAACAATCTGCATGTTTAGATAGAGACAGTACAGAGTTGTGGTGAGTTACTGTAAGTTATGTCAGATGAGTTATGTCAAATGTACCTATTAACCTACTGTAGTATCCTGCGACTTAGTGCTGCAACCAAATAAAAGTCATAGCAGTTTGTTTTGGGTCAGCATTAGATAATGATTCATTTGCATATTGCATATACAACATAACATAGCTCTCATAATCTGGAGTAGTGCTTCTCTTATTGTTTCTGCTCATGTGCTTTTGTACGTTTTCCTGTGATGTCCTTTATGTGTTGTCATTGTTATGACATCAGAATTGAAATTAAATTAACTATTGATGATTAATTGCCATAATGTAAGTAATCAACTAGGGAAGTTTTATGGTGTATTCAACAGGTATAGTGTCTCCCCTTAAGTCACTGATGGATGAAACTCACTGCTCAGAGGAAAATGTCAACCATCATAATGTGGCAGGCTCTGTTTGTGTGTGTGTGTGTGTGTGTGTGTGTCATTTTGTCATCTTCCTTGGTTAATTCTAGTAATGCTACCCAAATTGCCTTTAAACAGATAATTTTTTGTTGGTGCGAATATAAGCTCAGTGGTGCAATTCAACATCAGTGTGAACGTTGAAATTTGGAATGGTTGGTTTATTTTGGAACCTAAAGGTTTTTTTTTTATTTAACAGTTCTATCACACAAAATTATAATCATCATATAACTTTTTGTTTTACCCCCTTTAACAAAAATGTAAAGCAGTAATGTTTTTTAACTAATTTTAACTGACCTACTTTGTACTTTTACATGTGTAAATTCTTATACAGATCATTTTTATAGATAGACTGATTAATCTGTTGGATGATTAATCACACTGATTATGTAGTGTCAAGTAAGTTGAGATCCCTGATCCTCTAAAACCACTTTGGAAAGCAAAGGACTTTCCATCGAGTAACGGAGAAAGATAACAACGGAGCATTAGGGACTCTCCATCTGAATAACGCAATGCACAGAGATTATAATAACCAAAAGCTGTATAATGATTGAAGTTGATTCTATAGTACAAAATGAAATATGTAACAATGAAAGGAAACCTGATTATTTGATAATAAGTATAAATGCATAGTAATAAGATAGAACTATGGAAAGTAAGGTCAAGAGAGCAAATCATGTTGAAGTGTTGAGTAACTAGGTAAAAAGGCACATATTGCAACCGGACATGACTGGTGCTGAGAGAAAAGGGAAGTTGGAGCACACACACAGGACAC